AAAACTGCAATAGATGCCATTTTTCATGATAGGGGGGTTATGAAGGAGCTTGTTCGTGAACGTGCAGAATTATGGTCCTCTTGGAAAGGGATTTTTGTTATGCTTTGAATGGAACAAGTTTGAAGAAAAACGGTGCAGTATGAGACTCGTAATCCTTGATTTTCAAACATCCGATAGGCCAAAAATTAACGGTCGAAGTTAACACCGCGTGTTAATGTCCTGTTTAGAAAACAATAGGCGTTACCAAGTGGGGGGGGGTAGGATGGGTGCTATAACCAATAAAAAATAGAACCATGAGACAGAAGAAGAAAAGGGTAAAATGTTTTTTATTTTGAGCCTCTAGGTCAATTTTGAAAGAAGTTGCATCAATATTTGTAAAATTCAAAATAAATTTATTGGTCTGTTTTAGCCACAATGGTACCCCCCTGACTGATAACCGAAATTCGTTTGGGCATCACCCCCCCCCCCCCCCGACTGAAAACTGGCATGATTGTACCTTTTGAGATTCGATCAACTTGAGTTCTTCTGGGAAAATGAGGAGTCTTCAATGGTGCATCGACATAACATGGACTGGTGAAATACATGATGGTATCCCGATCATTGGAATGGTTAATGGTGTATTTGAAAAGTGCTCACAATGGTGAAAAGCTGCACGCTTTAGAAAGATCTAGACTTTTTGGCCGGGGGGGGGGGACTTTCACCAACCCTTCCAAAGGGACACGATATATTTCTCGAGGGCTCAGAGGGCCAGAGGTTAATATCATGTTGTCACAGGGTATAAAACCATAGGCCATATTCAATTCCGATCATGATATTCCTAACTCTCTTCAATGAAATCTGAAGTTCGAAGTCCATATCTAAACTTTGTATGATGAAACAAAACCAGAAGTCTTATATCATAAGTCTACAAAATATCCGATGGCTTAAAATGACATTTTGAAATATAAAATTTTATTGAATAATATAAGCACACCAGCATAAAAAAATCAACGAAACAATATATCAGCGACCAAACAAAATCGCTTGTTGCCCAGATGTCTATGACTTTAACTGTGTGAGAGCATGATGATGATATTACCATTCGTCTGTGTTTAATAGGCTCAAACAGAGCTTCATACTCCTTTCGTTTCAAAATCTCTTAATTTTCAAATGGGAGACGAATTCAATTTTTGTTAGCAAGTTTTGAGGTGAATGCGATTTTTATGAGAGAGATTGGTCAGGACAATGCGATTTTCTTTTCGAGCGATGGACGATGGGCGGTAAACACAATATTGCGTCTTCATTACGTACCCCTTCCATTAGATTGGCAATCGTGTGTTTTCATTTCGAAGCATATCAATATTTAAATCTAATTATTTCCTCAATTGCAATGCTAGATCTAGTAGTTCAGTTATTTGTGATATTTGACGAATTTATCTAAATCGCCAATCATAATCAGGCTTTGATTAGATAGGTGGCCGAAAAAGGGATCCTGTTACTAATTTTATGGAGGGGGGGGGGTGTATGTAATATCGACCAACGTCCAAACAATTATTTCCTGCACTATAGGAGAAAGTACTCTTTAAAAAGGGTTTCAAAAAACTATTTTGAATCATCGTTCTGTAATTGTGCAAAGGAGTTTTTGTTTTTAGCGTAACGTACACTGTATTTTAATTCTTGTTTGCTTAATAAGATTAATTTCAATATGAATCGCAAGTATGATCACTGCATCAAATGTGGAATTTCTTGCAATTTCTAGACGTAGGATGGTCTAGAAACTCCACGTATCTACCGGGAGAGGCAACTTAAATGAATATGCCAATTGCGTCCATAGGCGAAGCAAGGGGGGGGGGTGCAATAAAGATAAAACCATGAGAAAGAAAAAGCTCAATTTTGAAGAAATTTTTGTAAAATTCAAAATAAATCTTATTTTTATGGCTTGTTTATGCAACAATCGCAACCCCGTGACTGAAAACCGAAAAGGTTTTGGCGATCGCACCCCCCCCCCATCCTGAATGAAAGCTGGCTTCGCCCCTGCCCTATATCAATTAGTTATGATACATTGCATACACAATATGAACACATAGTTTTTTCATCCATTTGGTCAGACGCACAATAATGATACTATTCTAGTCTCTTGCTTGATACCCAGGGTTTGATGTAACAACTTGAAAATTATTTTTACAAGTTATCAGTACAGCTTGTTTGGTATTTTACAAGCTTTAAACAGTACGTGATTTATTATTCAATCATATATGTAAAACGTCATGTGAACAGTTCGTTATACAAAATAATAAATAAAATAGATAAAAGATAAAAAGAAATTAGTATATTTCAGTGAAAATATGTCTAAATTATGAATGTTGATCATAATTGCTTATAACAATATACATTCACCTGATTCGATAATTACTTCATTCTATTTAGTCTCAAGGCGTGCCAAGACTTTTCGTCACACTCTAAGCACGTCTTTGCACTGCGTGTGCTTAGACGTGCCTAGAGATGTCTAGAGTTGGTTTCATCGCGTACCTAGACGTGTCAAAACTAGTCACGCCTAAGCACCCGGCGTGCTTAGACTTAGTTTCTAGACGTGCTTAGTCTAGAAATTCCATTTTTCACGCAGTGGGTAGTGTCACAATTGACCAATTATTTCAAAAAGTAGATGGTTGGCCCTTATTGAGTTTCGTGTCAAGATGTAGCTTAGACATAGCTTTAGAACCTCAGATAGGCCAGTGAGGCCACATAAATCCATAACTCGAGATAAAAAGTCAGGCGTTTGCCCTTTTGCCCATTGACTAGTATGGTGACGTGAATTAGGGCAGTTTTGCCATATTTGCGAACGTTCCGATTCAAAAAGGGAACTGCGAAATGGACTGCGAAGTGGTGCGCGTTTAAATAGTCCACGTCCGTTGTGTAAGAATCGTGGTGCGAGTGCAAGGAACGTAGTTCGCGGTATCAGAACTGATGTTCGCGTTGTTGATAGCAAAGGGGGCCTGAAGAATGGCAGTGACTTTGTGTTTTAACTTGCAGTACCATGTGGTGTTGATATCGTGGTAATTGCGGATATATCGTGTAGTTACAATCCTGCAAACAAGGTGCTATTGCACTCGTTCCTGGAGAGCTTTGGCGCTAGCTTGGATATTGGACCTAGCGACGACAAAACTCAGGTAACATTGTAATTTAATATATTAAATAACAATGGATTCTTCTTTCACGACACGATAACGAACACACATTTTTGACACCAATAATTTTGTCGAGTTAAATGACTAAGAAAGGCATTGCAACAGATTTCAGACACTCAGATGTTGGCTTTTGACTATTTTATAAGGATTTGAACAGGTGCATATCACTATTTCACAGCTGGATGACTCTTTCTACAGCTGGTATAATTCAATATGGTGGCCAAAACTCTTTCCTTTTTGATAAACCGACGATTTCAGGTAAATAAGCTGAATCTGGATTCCAAATGTTTCGCCATGAGCAACAATTGTGGGTATGTGAACGTTTTCTTGTGGCTTTTTACAATCATAGCTTCACTAGTGTGCATTAGTGAGACAGATTTAGGGAAAATACCACCAGAACGTTTCAAATTGTGATAGAAGCGTAAATTTTGGTACAGAGTTTCATTAGAGAGTTTTAAAAAAATTGATCCGTGGCCGCAAGAAAAATTGTCACTTTTTGGTCCCAAAATTCAAGATGGCCACCAATATATCCGACGATCTTTCCAAATGTTAATACAAATGAAAAATATAATCATGTATTAAGCTACAAGTGCTAGATTTAAGTTCAAATGAAACTTTTATGTCTCTTGAACCTCAGCAATCATTTTAAATGCATTATGTGCTCACTAAGGGAAGAAAATAGGTGTAAAACAAGGATCGGCACTATTACCATTATGTTTTTTATGCGAATTAACATAAACATGTTCATATTATGCTTAGATGGTTATGTTGTAGATCAGATTCTCTCTCAATCACATATGTTCAAACATATATAAGGGTGTGAATTCAATATCAGTTGCTTAATAGAAGAAAACATAGCATGTGTCACTGGTTGTGCTCCAGATTGTGCTGGCACAATCAACGCAATTCTTAGTTTTAAGAGAACTACTGCTACTGTTGTGATTCATTGACTTTATTCACCTTAATATGCATTCTTTCTTCAGAAAAAACTTCAATTGGAATTGAAATGATATTAATGTATCCATAAATGAATAAATGGTATGTGCTTTTGAGTGGACTGTATGAATCTGTATGATGAGATAGCAATTAACAGACATTATTTTCTATTTTAATGATTATATTACAATTTTGGTTGTTCAGACTTTCCTATTTAGATTAAACCAACAATGAACCAGTTGAACAACTTTTACTGTAACTCTGAGTTTGATGAAGTTTCATTAATTGAATATGTGGTGTGTCACAGAGTTCTCCAGTAAGGAGATAGGAAAAGTTGAGAAACTGTGAATTATGAATCTAACATCTATTTTGTCAATCTAACTGCAAAATGTATATTACCAAAGTATTACATTACTTAATACACATCAAGAAATATGTATACTCTAAACACTGCATCTAAAAAGTTATATTTGTTATTAAATGATTAGCCTATACCAGATGTTTTAGCACTGGTAAATTCTCTTCATCTTTAAGCATTTTTCAATACTGCTAAAAAGTCTGTGAGGCAGTGGTTTTAGTAGTTTTAATTTCTTGATTTGACCCAAGTAGTGTGAATACGTTTGTAAAGAAATGAACTATGATCATAAAATAATGACAAGTGCTTCATAAGTAAATGTGGTGATCTGTTAGGACTATATCTTGCTAAGACCATGGAGCAAATAAATCTGAGAAAGACCATGGAGCAAATAAATCTGAGAAAGACATTATCTGGAACAGATGTGTTTTATGTCAGGAAGTAAAAGATGAACCTCTAAGATGTCCGGTAAACAATCCCATATAAAGTAAAGGACATACGTATGAGGTACTGGCTACCAATCTTGAGGAGTTCCATGAATTGAACTGTTGCCTCTGGGATCATGCCAATATTCATTGAGGACTCCAAGTCTCCAGCCATGCTTTGCTGAAGCATAGTATGGACATTATCAAAATTGCTGTGAAGACACTCAATCCCAATCAAGTCCCAGTTATTGCAGCTGATCAACTCCTGTATTCATTGCTTAAGCAAATCCAATGGTCATATAGAGCAACTCATGATGACTTTGGTGGCCTCCATATTGAGGCAGCATTTGAATGCACTATTGGTAACTGGCTCAGAGACAGTGGGTGGACCAATGCTTTAACTCAAGCTAAAGTTGCTACCAGTGGGACAGCTGACTCCTTTCTGAAGGCATCCCACATAACCCGCACAAGATGGGCCCATCAAGTTTCAGCATGCGCTTTGTATAATTTGATGAAAAGAGCTCATGCTATCTATCTTCAAGTAACATAACTTGCTGATGAAGACCCTTTGTCCTTTGAAAACTGGCAGACAAAGATGAAACAGGATCTTAAGAGGTTCTGGACAAATCATTTGATTCTGGACTTGACATATTTTTTTTCCAACGAAATCACATCCAAGGGTTGAATTTTTATTGGATATTTAGAGAGCGAGTCCTGTATTGATTTCAATAAAAAGGTTAAAATAGAACGCTATTTGAGAGTTAATCTTATACTTTCATTACATTGATAAATTAAGGCAAATTCTGAAAAATTTTAAAGTGCATTTTTTATGAAATATTATCCAAGTATTTAGATGAAACGGTCTTATTTAAATACAAATCATAACATGATGATATTTTTTCATAAAATATTTCTTCAAGAAATTCAATTGAAGGCTCAAGATAAAACGAGCTAATTTAGGTGAAAACCCTTACATGATGATGTGTTTTCATGACTTCTTTCATAAAATTCCATCAAGGGGTGAAAATAAAATGATCGAATTTAAGTGATTTAAGGATCACGAGGATAGGTTTTCTTGGATATTTTCTATGAAATCCCATCCAGTGGTCAAGGTAAAAATTTTATTTGGTATATTTGGTCACGTGTTCGAACCCATAGAACCATATAGGAACGTCATTTTGAATGTTACGTGATAAATCCATATAAGGCTTTTAGAACAATGTGGGGAAAGATGAGGGGAAACCCCTGACACCTGTTCACGATTTTATCCGAACGTTCATCGGATCATTTCGGTTTTTATGCACTTCATTATTTTACCAAAGTTTGCCGATTCGATTCGTCGTATTTCGGAATATTGGGGACAATTTTATACTCCATTGGGAGTATTTTTAATCTACTTCTTATTACGAAGATTCCCGAACCTTGTTCGGATTAATCCGGATTTTCTGACCTACTTCATCTACCGAGATTTAACGAGTTTACATTCGGCTCATTTCGGAATCCTGGTGACAATTTTATACTCCATTGGAGTATTTTTGATCTACTTCTTATGACGAAGATTTCCGAACCTTGTTCGGATTAATCCGGATTTTCTGACCTACTTCATCTACCGAGATTTAACGAGTTTACATTCGTCTCATTTCGGAATCCTGGTGACAATTTTATACTCCATTGGAGTATTTTTGATCTACTTTTTCTGGATTTTGCCCTACTTATTATATCTTTACAACAAGCAAATCAAAAAATTCGCCATGAACGGGTCTCGATCGACTAACCTAGAGCATGGAAGCTAGGCACGTTAGCCATGAGGCTAACGTGCAACCGATACGAAAGGATAAAAGTATTATATATTTATACCGAGCGTCAATTCAAAATGATCTTCACTTTTGACTGCACGTAAATACAACTCGTCAGTTGTATCCAGAATAGATGAACGCCTATGGTACTAGTGAATAACCAAGTCCCAGGCGAGTGGTTCGCACCCCACCGTGATATGTTGTTTTTGCTTTTTTAATACGACAGAAAGGAGCAAGGTCACTGGCATGTAGCGGTCCTGATATCGATACATTCTACACGCAATAAAACCAGATACCTGCGTGTGATTAAAACTACATGTTAGAGCGTCGATATCCTACAAATCCTATTTTTTCATAAAAATATTTTTTCATGAAATCCAATCGAAGGGTGAAGATAAAACGATCTTTTAGGTAAAACAGCTTTACATGATCTGGTGATGTGTTTTCATAACTTTTTTCATAAAAGACCATTCTCGGTTTGGAGAACAAAGTTCGTCACTCTAATTGAGCGTTATCCCTGCTTCGGACAAATTTGATTTTTTTACATAATATAGATTTGAATGTCTTCTTTTGAATAGTCATAGTTTAATTTGGGTAATATTTCTAGATTTTTCATATAAAAATTACTAGTGAAACACCCAACGTCGCTTTTATGATTCGTACCACTTTTTTAACTTGGTGTATTGCATATTTCCGTGGGTTGATTTGAAAAAAAGACAAACAAGGTATACATGAATATGTCATAAGCATATAGTGAGATAATTGTTAGATTAGGTTTGCTATAAGTGACTTTAAAACAAAAAAATAAAAAACATTAGTTCACGTGTTAAAGTCCCATTGACCACGACATCAAGGAAAATTGAGCTTTTTGTCATCAGACATCTTTATAGCTGTGACTAGCTATGTACTACATTTTTAAATACACTCACATTGTACATGTAGCTGTAATATCTAAGATGTTATTTTTATTGATGAAAAGATTCTTACATACTAAAGTTACATTAAAATATCAATTGCAATAGCCACCTGTTTTTAACATCCCTTTGTCACTCATCCCTTAATTATCTCTGTGTATCTTAAACGTGTGTGTGTTCGATGTTGATAGCACCCGAGTGCAACCTAAGGAGCACATACAATACATTTTGTGTATGCCCAGTCTGGCCGCCTTATATCTGCCTGCACCGAGAAATGGGCGCAGCTTTGACAATTAACGAATGATATAACGATATCACGGATTTCACTGAATGTTATTCATCCCTAAATAGCTTTTTTATTTAGTCTTATGATCCGACTGATGTTTCAATTTTTTGCAGTGACTCTGAAATTGCTGCGCCAGATATGACATCACAGCGACTCATTTTCCTACATTTAAATCACTAAACTAAATCAATTGAAACATAATCATTAAAGAATGAGGACCTTGTATTTTACTTTGGACGAGGGTAGTGGCCATGTCTTGGCATGGCTAGTTGTGCATTAACGTTTGATACTGTTGTGCGGATAAAAATAATGAATATATGTTAAAGTAGCACTAAACAGATACTTTTAAAGTTAAAAGAATATAGTTACATTTAAAGAATGGGCCCAACGAATAGATATTGAATATAGGACTCGTTTGATGAAACGTTCGTTCTTTTAATTCTAATAAACCTAGAAATCAATCAACGATTAAGTAAATTGACAAGACTTCATGTTCAAGTTGGCTGAATTTCGTGTAACTTAACTCTGTTATGTTTCTAGATTTTACATATGGAGAACAGAATTCGAAATCATAATCACAATCGTATTTTAAGGCAAATAGGCCATGAATATGCTTTTAGTTACACGGTGGATGATCAAATTAACACATTTTGGATGTTGAATTTCATTTCAAGTTCATTCGAATTTACGCATTATCGTGGGAAAGCCCATGGCATTATCCAATAAAATTGATATATATACTGTCTAGGCTGAGACTAACATATATAATGTTATTTAATGTATTTAATATACAGGATATATCTGAGAAAGTTATGCAATATATCTACACGAGAAATAGTAGGGACCGAGGGTTGATATATTACCTTTACCTGTCGAAAATCGAGTATAAACTATGAGGATTAGATACGCATTGAATGTAATGGAACCGTCATGTAATAATTAGAAATGATAATCACAATCAAATCATGAATATTTTATCTAGATTTAAAGTGCTTAAGATTTATTTTTAAAACTCAACCGAACTATTAACATTTAAAAGCACCGAACGAATTTTCTGGGGATTGCTGATGAGCGGGTGGGATGGGATGGGAGGGATAAAATGAAATACTAGATAAAATATTGATACCTTTACGCATGTCAATCTCAAATTAGAATGCATATATCATTATCTCTTTTATTCTTCTGTATTGTAATACGATAGTCTGATTATTGTCAATATCCTATACATGAAATAATGTACAACGTGTATTCTACATTGAATAACAAACGAAATAAAACTCATCTTTGTACGAATTTATTTTTCATATGACACAAAGTAACATAACATTGTTATATGTTGCATTTACGACTACTACAGCAAATCAGAAAATTCGTACAATATCAAACGTAAGAGTTGTTCACAAATACATTGGTATTTTGATATGAGTATCATGTAGTATTAAAATATTAAAATCATATGATCAGCAAGTTTATAAGCTTAATATTGTATTGTTTTTTATTTAAGTGTCGCATGCTTAATTTCATACATATACATCTGTACAATCATCCAAAAAGCCTCGAGCCACCAATGGCTAATGAGACACTGCTAATCAAAATAAATCATATAATATTATATAATAAGATGCATAATATGAGTCAGTTGCAGAAATAGGATTATGAATAAAGCAAAGTTCATGACCTCTATTACGAACATTGTTTGATGAACTCGATCACTCAGTCAGTTGTTGAACATATGCAAATGTGGTCAGGTTATAAATATAAGTACAATTTAAGTCCATGATATTTTCACATATTGAACATAACACTCAGTTCACAAAGAGATGTATACAAATCTAATCCACAAGTAGAAATGATTGTTTCATGCTGTTTATGCATTGTGTATAAACTGTAATCCAAAACATGAATAAAGTGGGCAAGAGGTGGTTGTATGATGGCCCATAAAATCACATTATGTAACACCGGCACCCTGGTTCAATATAGTGCAGTGGCCCATGTTTGATATACGTACATCAAAACTCATGTTTTTTCAAGGAAAGAAGCTAGATTAGTGATATATTGAAAAATCAAACTACTATACCCCAATACTGTAGCCCGTATTTCTTTAAAAGGAATACAGGCTACAGTGAAGTTGCAAATGGAGGACCTTTGTTTATTTCCATAGTTCTGGAGGAATACTAGATTTTACATTGTATAGATTCATCGAGCAGTTTGCAACGCACTATCACCAGAAAAGTCCTATGGAAAAGGACAAAGAATACCCGCTCTATTTGCAACTTAACTGTACCCTGTATTCTTTTTAAATGTGTTCACGTGGTAGGGTAGTGTGATACTCCCTCTGCCTATGCCTACATCGTTCAATCTTTTTTTCATAGTATAACGCCTTATTAATACAACAGTTATTGAGCTGTTAAGAAAACATACTAACAAACAAACCACCGAGTCTAGAGTAAGACATATACATGTATTGTTCTATTATCAAATCATATATTGTGTCCCAATTCTAAAACGTTAACAGTTTATGGTGTACAATAAAACTATTACTATTAACCACTTTAATATATTTAGACATAAAATATCAAGTTACTCATCAGCCAACAAATCTCAAAATATCGAAAAATGAAAAATACGAGATACTTGTTCACTCAAATCTCGGAGTCAATTGGTAATGTGTACCTATAGATAGTTCTCAAAGTAAATGAGCAAAAGCGTAACATTTGTATGTAGCATGCTTCATAAAACACTAAACTTAGCCCAAAAAGTAAGCGTGCATTTTGTTCCTGGCACTGATTGGTTAATAAGTGAATACAATTCGTTGAATGCACGATGCACTCAAAAGATTAGCAGCTGGGAAAGGCTATTGAACAAAAAGTACGCTTTCGTACTCAAAAAAGGATTACCCTTTTACAACTTTGACAACTTTGAAGCATGAACTTCGGAAGATCTAACGAAATGTACTTACTGTTACCCTGTGGATCCCATGGTTTTGATATGTTCTACAAAGTCATGCAAAGACAGACCATATATGCACTAAAAATATCTGTGACACTTGTATGATATGTATTCCACTTTGAACCACCATCTATTTCAATATTGTGAAAATATATATTTCCCAAATTATGAAATAAAGGAGCTTGTATTCGCGAATGCCGCTAACGCCTGTCGGCTACCGGATAAACCTACTTTACTATTTTATGGGCAATTCATTAAAATATCAATGGAATATTGTCAGGTTCTTTTCATATTTAAATGAGTCGCCCATAGAATGGTAGGTTAATCCGGAAGCTGAAATCTTCCATTCCCAAATCATAGTCTTAGCTTGTATTCGCAAATGCAACTAACGCCTGTCGGCTACCGGATTAACCTATTATTTTACTGGAAACTCATGTCAATACGAATAGTACCTGCCACTATTCCATTCATATTTAAATGACTTGGTCATATTATACTGGGTTAATCAGGTAGCCGGGAGGCGTTAGTTGCATTCGCGAATATAAGGTTAGCTTGTATTCAATAATGCAAGAAACGCCTGTCGGCTACCGGATTAAACTACCTCTGGAGACATCGGGATTTTAAAGCGGCGTGCAAAGCGTAATCGGGTACACCCCAGTTCTCCGAAACCCAGTTGTCCGAAACCCATTACTCCGAAAAATAAAGTCATAATTTACCAGAGAAAGCGGGGGGCGTAGCTTACTTAAACTTACGTCAGTTTCATGCCATGTATTTGGCCAAATTAATGGCATGGACGCATTCTGTTATTCATAGATCTCTCTCTCACTTTGAATTGCATCCATTGCATGGCGTTACCAGAATGGCAGGAACGGGAGATTTATTTTACATTGTGATTCTAAAAAAAGGTTATTAAAACACAATATATATTACGGAACAGTTTATCTTATCTTCTTCAATCTCTTTTATATAGGCAAAATAAAATGAAACATTTTGAAACAGATAAAATAATTTATCGCATAGAACTTTAAGAATAAAACAGTATACAAATTACGTTGTCAAAATATTTCGTCGCATTTAATTTCTTAGTCTCGGTCTCTTATCAAATCGTAAAAGAATAAAACATTCTATACTTAATCACTTGGGATTTATGTTTCGGCATTCGTTTCAGGCATTTGTTTTTTATGTTCTTCTCCTGAAATGTATTTGTTTGACAATAATCAGAGAAAGTGCGTATACGTATAAATATGCCACGCAAACAAACGGGTGTGACTTCAATTTCTTGTCTGTCTGAGGACGTATTGGGAACGAGGTAGAATTAAAGAATTCTTATGAACGAGTCATGCAAGATACTAGAACTAGTAAAGTAATGTAAATGGATAAGTTAATTTCTGATGGATCTGGATATAATATATTTCAAAACTTTGTAAACACTAGATAACTTCATTTAGGCAGATATAGTATCTTGATATATTTGGCTATCATGCGTTTAAAATACGTTCCTAAAACTATGAAGACGTTAGGTGAGAAATATTGCTATTGTACGTTCGAAAAGTATTTGGTTGTATTTTGTAGTTCTCAAGTTACCCATGAACTTTCGTGGGCTAATTAACGTCTTGACTTAGCATATTTAGCCTAATTTTGCAATGATGTCAACGTGATTCAAATGTTATGCTGTCGTGATTCGCAGAGGTTGCGACAAGATTTGTTTTACAACAGATGTAACTATGAGAACATGAAAGCTCATAATCCTGATTATGCAACCTTATACAATCGTTATCTTTGGGACAAGAGCCCAAAAACAAGGTCCTCGTGAACGAGAGTTGAATTTGCTCCGTGAACGATAGGATACGCTGTTCCCCACCAACAAAATACAGACATATGCTTCAGTGTCCTCAACGCAGATTGTAGAGAACAAGAGAAAAAATGAAATATTCTTTGCCATAACAGAATACTGTTAAAGTATTGTTTATTAAGTTTATTAAGTTTCACAAATAACTTTTAAATGCCTTCTTTACCGTCAACGGACACTCAAATAAATACACAATACAATGCAATGCAATGTAATACAACGCATTACAATACAAACTAAATTAGAGTATTTGTGCATAGCATTTTCCCCTTTTGTTTGAAGGATATTTTAAGAATAATTCCAGCGTTCGTACACACCTGGAAATGTCAGGGTTTTGATTTAATTTTCCAAGTGCCTGAAATGTCAGAGAATTTTAAAATAAGGTCAAAAAGGGCCAAAGAGTCCGGGAATTTTGAAACTGTAGACATGTCATGGAAATGTCAGGGAAATTTGTATCAGTGTTGAAAAAATGATGTTCCAGAAAAATAAATTTTAGGACTATGACAGGCAGGATCTCAATGAAATCCAAAATGTAACATTTAGTTGATTCCACACGGGGCGTGTACATTGTCTAACATATATCTAAAAGGTTTACACTGTCTTGATTAATGAACTTCTTAGATCTAGTCGCGCTTCAGAAGTGGAAATCCTTCAATTATCAGAGGTTAATGTTTCTAAAACTGTATTGAAATAAACGTACGTCTTGTTTTCAAACCTACACCTTGCTCCTTTCTGTCGTATTAATAAAGCAAAAATAACATATCACGGTGGGATACGAACCACTCGCCTGGGATTTGGTTATTCACTAACACCATAGGCGTTCACCTATTCTGGATACAACTGACGAGTTGTATCTAAGTGGAGTCAAAAGCGAAGATCATTCTAAATTGACGCTCGGTATAAATATATGATACTTTTATCATCTCACACAGGTGAACGTTAGCCTCATGGCTAGCGTGTTTAGCTTCCACTCTCTAGGTTAGTCGATCGAAACCCGTTCATGGCGAACTTTTTGATTTGCTTGCTGTCAACTTATAATAAGTAGGGCAAAATCCAGAAAAAGTAGATCAAAAATACTCCAATGGAGTATAAAATTGTCACCAGGATTCCGAAATGAGACGAATGTTAACTCGTTAAATCTCGGTAGATAAAGTAGGTCAGAAAATCCGGATTAATCCGAACTGATTCGGGAATCTTCGTCATAAGAAGTAGATCAAAAATCCAGAGAAGTAGATCAAAAATACTCCAATGGAGTATAAAATTGTCACCAGGATTCCGAAATGAGCCGAATGTAAACTCGTTAAATCTCGGTAGATGAAGTAGGTCAGAAAATCCGGATTAATCCGAACAAGGTTCGGGAATCTTCGTAATAAGAAGTAGATTAAAAATACTCCCAATGGAGTATAAAATTGTCCCCAATATTCCGAAATACGACGAATCGAATCGGCAAACTTCGGTAAAATAATGAAGTGCATAAAAACCGAAATGATCCGATGAACGTTCGGATAAAATCGTGAACAGGTGTCAGGGGTTTCCCCTCATCTTTCCCCACATTGTTCTAAAAGCCTTATATGGATTTATCACGTAACATTCAAAATGACGTTCCTATATGGTTCTATGGGTTCGAACACGTGACCAAATATACCAAATAAAATTTTTACCTTGACCACTGGATGGGATTTCATAGAAAATATCCAAGAAAACCTATCCTCGTGATCCTTAAATCACTTAAATTCGATCATTTTATTTTCACCCCTTGATGGAATTTTATGAAAGAAGTCATGAAAACACATCATCATGTAAGGGTTTTCACCTAAATTAGCTCGTTTTATCTTGAGCCTTCAATTGAATTTCTTGAAGAAATATTTTATGAAAAAATATCATCATGTTATGATTTGTATTTAAATAAGACCGTTTCATCTAAATACTTGGATAATATTTCATAAAAAATGCACTTTAAAATTTTTCAGAATTTGCCTTAATTTATCAATGTAATGAAAGTATAAGATTAACTCTCAAATAGCGTTCTATTTTAACCTTTTTATTGAAATCAATACAGGACTCGCTCTCTAAATATCCAATAAAAATTCAACCCTTGGATGTGATTTCGTTGGAAAAAAAATATGTCAAGTCCAGAATCAAATGATTTGTCCAGAACCTCTTAAGATCCTGTTATGAGAGCAGAGTCCCCTATGTTCCAGTTTTGGGCTATAACGCTTGATATGGAGCTGCTGCTACTTCTTCTTGTGAGGTCTCTTCGTCTTGGAGATTTCCCCCTGTATATTGACGTGCTCATAGAAATGTGCCCATGGTTCTTTTCATTGGACCACACAAACTATTCAAGGTGGATTCCAGGTCACATTAAAGATATGATTCAACTTGAAAATAATCATCGAACTATTCATGAGGCCTTTGTTGCAGGACATTTCACGGTCTCCAAGTCAGCCTGTTCTTTCTCATCACTAGCTGTGTACCATGCTCATGAGTAAAATAATGTCCTCATCAAAGGTCAAGGTGGCGTTGTAGGAATCACACAAAGCCCAAATGCTCTAAGACGATTGATGGTGGCTGGTCCTGGAATTGCCCAGATTGTCCAAGAATTTGATGAAAACAATGCAGTTGGTGATCTCAGAAACGATGATGATAACAGTCACCATGAGCAATGCTAAAGTATACAGAAACAGTTCAGTCAAAATGTAACTGCCATGACAGATGTCATTGAAAAGCTAGGAAATCCATTTCTTGCCGCAGATGATACTCTATATACAATAGACACTAAGGACATGACACACCCTTCTGTGGTGACAACTGTCTGAACAATAGAAGACCTGGGACGCAGAAAATACCAAGAATTCTGTAATGAACGCCTTGTAAAGTCATCTGAAAGTATCAAAGCAACTATACCAAAGAACAATCTCCCCTTGTTTGGAAGCAAAATATCTAGTCAAACTAACACAAGTGCTACCATAACTGAACTAAGGAATGACTGTCAGCTCTTTTCAAGACTATACATTGCATGCCAAACCAGAAAGGTCGATATGAATGAGTTTTTCACCTATGAAAATCATGAGTTTCCCCCATCTATTGCTAAGCATGGTCAGCTTCGTTATTCAGCTAAATCAGAACTGCTTGGACCCCTTAACAGATGCCAACAGCAAGCAAGATTAGTTACAGAGCGCCCAACTACAGAAGCTACAGTCATAGATGGTGCTTTCCTCATTCACCTCCTAAATCCTGGAACAGCAAGAACCTTTAATGACTATCTGACCTCCGTGTTTCTACCAAGCGTGATGGCAGAATTACAATATGTTGCCCGCCTTGATTTGGTGTGGGATGAGTATCTCGATAAAAGTCTAAAAATGTCAACTAGACTGAAGCGTGGCCAGGGTGCTAGGAGAATGGTCTATAAAGAAAATGCAATCCCCAAAAACTGGCAATCTTTTCTTAAAAATGACAGCAACAAACAAGAATTATTTAGCATGTTATCTCGAGGAATGATGGATGTAGAAACCAATGGTAAGCAGATAGTAACAACTCTTGGGCAATCAGTTCTCTGCAACCCACCAATATCACCTGATATCACATCAAAACTGGAGCCAAATCTTCATGAGGAGGCTGTCACCAAGCTATTTGTCCATGTTTCTCAGATGAAGGAAGCTGGGTACACCTCCTTTATGGTGAAAACTGGAGACACTGATGTTGTAGTTCTCGCAGTTGCTGCACTGCTGAACTCGAAGTTGACATATGGTTGGCGTTTGGTCCTATCAATAAATATAGTCTGTTTCTTTTCATGAATTTAATTACAGAACTAAATTCCCAAAAATTTTACATTTTCAGATATATTGCTGCCTATGAAATTGCCAATACACTAGGTCCAGTGAAGTCCAGATGTCTACCAGTTTTCCATGCCCTAACAGGGTCTGATACAACTTCATGTTTCTACGGACATGGGAAACTTCAAGCATGGAAGCTGTGGGATGTTTATCCAGAGATTACAAATGGACTAAGTGTCCTAATGTATCCTGACGTCATAAGAAACATTCCATCGGAAGCATTTGATAGCCTTGAAAAGTTCATAGTTCTATTATATGACCGTACAAGTGAACAGGTAGACATCAATAAGGCCAGAAAAGAATTGTTTTGCAACAAAGGAAAGATGATAGATAAAATCCCCCCAACTAGAGCTGCTCTTAGACAGCATATTCTTAGGGTGGCCTTCCAGGGTGGCATTGTGTGGGGCCAGTATTTAAATCCTAGACCAGATCACCTTCAGTCCTATCTTCAATGGGGTTGGAAAATTAGCCATACTGTTGTAGTGCCAAAGTGGACAGACCTTCCTCAGGTATCTAAGGCATGTCAGGTCTTTGTAAAATGTGGATGCTTAAAAGGAGGTGGAGCCAGATGCTCATGCCACAAAAGTGGACTTTTATGCACCGAACTTTGCAAGTGTTATGGAAATTGTCATAATATGGAAGGATAAACGTTAACATTTAACTATGTTAATTCATATGAGAAAGTGTGGACCTGTCTTCAGAGTGACAACAGTTATCTGGACCTTTAAAAGAATGTTACAGCAGCAATATTTGACATTTTAGATCTATATTTTTTTAGCATTAGTGACGGGATGATAAAATAAGTGAGGGATCAAATATAGATCCTTGTTAAACACCATTATTTATTATGAAATAGTCATATAATAAGGTAAAGTGTACCTCAAAAGCTATTTAAGGTCTTAAGTCAATGTTTCTACTGACACATAACTCTTATCTAGCTGAATACATTCAACATTTTCTATTCTTGTAAAATTCTTGACGATAATGACATGCTATGGCGGCCATCTTGAATTTTATCTGAAATTTTTAAATTTTCGCTTGCGGCCACGGATCAAATTTTTAAAAATTGGATAAGGAAGTTATATACCAAAATTCACGCTTCTATCACAATCTGAAACGTTTTCTCATAAATCTGACTCACTACATGGGGAATTCCAGATTCAACTTATTTTAGCTGTTTATCGAAAACGAAAGAACTCTTGCCACCACCTTGTATGATACTAACTGCAGTTAGAATCACCCAGCTATGGAACGGTACATACGTTAGACCAATGCATTAACCCCAGGACAAGCACTCATAGAGATTATCAAATAATTTGGACTTTGCGACAGGGAATGTGCAAACACTCCACCGACATGTTTTTCTAAAATGTTGCCCTGATTTTCAGCCATTTCCTCACCTGTTTTTTATGTTTGATGTATCAATATGTTGTGCTTTTAGACAGAGTGAATCTCTTTTACTCAAACTTTTAAATAATTCGGTCTTCATGTGTGTCTATTCGTCAACAACGTAGTTATATGCATGCGCAAGAATCGGCGCAATCTGATTGGCTAAATGGAAGCTATGAATGGATCCGCATCTGTGTACTAATGAAATATCACAGCGCCCAAGCGCAGACCCCGGATTGCAAAACTGTTTGAATAGGAAATGATTTTTCAAGTGTTGATTTTGAGGTTTGAACTTTTTGTACCATTTTAGTTTGATTTTTTTGTACCATTTTAGTTCGAACATTTTATCATTGTTGTTAAACTTGTGAATCGAAAAAAGTTTACATTGGAATTTTTAGTTTCACAATTTTAATGCTTAAAAATGAATATTGAAGCAACCATTGATCTTGCAATGATAGATTTTGCAGTTTTTTTGTTTGTTGTTTAGTTTTTGCCGTTCGACATTTATTTTATGCTAATCACATACAAAAGTGCACATTGTACATACAGTTAGAAATGGTCACAATATGAAATCAACATTGGCAATATAGCTAGGGTTGATCACATATTATTCACACTGTCCGTACAGTTAGAGATGATCACATAGTTTGAAATTGGACATTGGTCATATAACTAGAATTAATACCTATGAATATTGCACATTGACGATATATTGGTAGTTCGAGTTGATGACATAATAATTGCATCACATGTTAAAATTCTCACCGTCCATACGGTTAGAGTTGGCAACATTCAACATTGCACCTTTTGCTTTCAATTAAGGCTGAACACATACAGAAGTGCACACTATCCATACAGTTAGAAATGGTCAGACGTAAAATTGTGCATTGTCCGTACAGTTAAAGTTGATCACCTTGGATGCATTTTACATGATTCTTACATGATTCTTTGACCGCAAGCAAGATTTTTACATGATTTTTTGACCGCGAGCAAGATTTTTACATGATTTTTGACCGCGAGCAAGATATTTACATGCTTTTTCGACCGCGAGCAAAATTTTTAAGTAATTTTTTTACCGCGCGAGCAAGATTTTTTCATAATTTTTCTGACCGCGAGCAAGATTTTTATCCTAAATATTAGCTAGATTGTAGTCAGCTTAAATGATATTCGCGGTTAAAACAGCTAAAATATTACGCAAACGTATCAAATGCATTTGCTTTGCGGTCATACAAAAATACACTCCTTACCATTATAATTAAAACGACCACGTTCAAATATGCACATTGTCCTTTCGGTTAGAGCTGACGTTCAAAATAAATTCTCGTATTTACAAACACAGTTGATCAAGTTAAAATTGTATATTTCATTTACAGTTAGAGTTGATTAAAATCCAGACTTCACTTTGTCTTTATAGCTAGGGCTGATTACATACGACAAATACGTATACAATGAGTTTTCTTTGAATACGTACAATAACAGTGCGGCTGTTGTAAAACATATCCAGCAAATGGATATTCATCAATTCAATTCTAATCGGTTAAGATGTGGAACACGAACAGATCTAGCCCTTATTGAAGCAAAAGACACCCAGCTTACAGGCGCTGAAGGAGTGAGAGATGCATTGGGAATAAAGAGACCACCTATTCAGAAGGTGGTCCTTGTGATAACAGATGGTGCCACGTTTCCGCCATCAAATTCAGGCATCACCAAGAAGGTAGCAGCAGATCTTAAAAACGAATTAGGGGCACTTGTATTCGTTGTTAGTTTACCAAACGCTAAGCAAAAAGATTATAGCGCTGAGTTTTCTGCTATTGCGAGTCAGCCAACTTCCATGTTCTTAATGGATATTGAATTCGATGAATTGCTGGATTCGTTGGAATCTATATTGTTGAAAATCTGCGGTAAGTACTGAATTAATAGAAATATTTTAATTCCAATAAAATATAACACGCAGTATCTAAATTAACGTTTATATTACAGTTTATGCTATAAATCTGATAACAAATTCCCAGTTGTGATCATTTTCTATAACTTAAAGTAGTCTAGCGCAATCTTTTCTAATTTGCTTTTATAAAACCGACATTAGATGTCCCATAAATCTACTTGACATGGAAAACAAATTAAAATAGTCGTTTTCCTTTTTTTGAGACGCCTGTAAATTGTATTTTTAAGTCAATCTTGGGCGCCGTAACCACGAGGTTGCGAGTTTGAGACGCGTGTGCTCGTGTTTATTTCATTTACGTTACTTCAAAGTATATCTTACCCATCTTAAATAATATCAACCATTCTAAAAGTCCAACCTGTTTTACATTTACAAACGCATAATATTGTTTTGTTTACGTATGGTATACGTGCAGCTAGTTTTGATTCTTTACGTTAACGTTTTCTATCTTAGACAATAGGGAGTTTAAGCGTGCAATGTTTTTTACAACCTTAACATGAACGGAGAATATTTAAGCGATGCATTTTTATTGGTGACTGGTCATACATATAGGTTGGCATTTCAATATTATACGCAAGCTTAAACTCTCTATTTGCACCAAAATTAGTTTACTAACAATTGTTGTTCATAGTTTAACCTTTTATTTCAGATAGATGCCCGATTGGCTGGTACGAGTGTGGAGTCAATTGTTACAGGCCATTTACCAACCAAACCCACAATTTGACGTGGGTTGGAGCTCGAGAAAGCTGCTGGTCTAAAGGTGCCTTCCTGGCTGTACAACTGGAATAAGACAGAGCCAATCGAACATGAACTGCAGCAATCTATATACGCAGGTACTATTCTAATTACGTTTAGTATGTTATTTAATTTAGGCGATTTACAAGACATTCGAGGTTAATTTGAATATCATAAAATAAATAGTTCATCATATAAAAAAAGTTATTAACACAACTAGATTTAACTACATTCAATTTCAACATTCTATATTTGTATTTGGAATCATATGCTTGGATTTTGAAATTGGTCGAGTATAGGGAGAGAATACGTGAATGAATCAGGAATCACGTGTCGTCAATACTAGGCCAGTCTACAGCAAGCATTTTGGGAAGTCACGGGACCACTTGTTAGACATTGTCATATATCAATGCAGTATGGGAGTATACCTCCTTTTTAAAACACTACTTAATTACCTCCTTTGTACAATTTCTTTTGCAATGCATTCAGTTTCAAATCATAACCATATACAATGAATATGATTAAAATGGTACAAGGTTACTTTGCAATGTAGAGCAAGATTTGTGTGTAGAAGGCAAGTAAGGCAGGCACAGATGGGTGCAAAAAATGAGATAGTTATCAAGCGTTCAATGTTGCATGAGAAAGATGCTATTGTTGCGTAAAAGACAAGGCAGTTCGTAGCAGAATGTGATGTTTATTGCGTGACGCAATTGAAGTAATGACTATTCATATGTGATGATTGTGATTCGAAATATTACCTGATATGAGGTGAGACAAAATCCGTAATTAACTGTGGCGTGATAGTTATAATGCAGCTGATACTGCGTACATGAACAATCTACCCATAGTGCTGATATTGCACATTCCATATGATATCTGATGCTGCATTCGTGAACATTTATCCATATAACATAAAGATACCATATTCTATCGAGAAATCGCAAATATATATAAGCATCTCCCCAGAGATTGTGATACACAGGTGATCATGAAACTATAAATCTACAATATCTCGTGATGAACAATTGAGTACTCGAAATATGAACCATATATAATTTGTGTATAATCAAGTTAGTGTGTTTAGAGTGTTTATTTTCAGAGTAATTAACTTGAACGCAGATAGATCTGTTAAGTAAGATAGGTGTTGGTTAGTGTACATATTTCTGTGTTATTCATTTACTTATTTTACATTAATGCGAACACAAGTTGCATTTTAATAAATGTTTTCAATTATGTTATTTTAATTACACATTTTGTAAGGGGTCATAGAATTTTACCCGTGAACTCTTAACAGATACATTTTTCTGAAAAATTACTTTATGTAACATCAATTCACATATGTCTGGGTCATATAAGTTTGTGGACGAAGGATTCTGAGCCTTTTTACCCCCCTAGAATAATATTTGAGGGGGTATTAGATTATCATTCTATAACATCAACTAGAAATTTGGCAAAGTACTGATTCCTACATAATATGTCATTAGTACACTGGCCAAGTGTATCCTAAAATTATAGAGAAGTATGTTGATTGGTTTAGGAAAAAACATACACTGTTGCTCATAAATACCTCAACATTTTTTCAATTTTTTCCTCAATTACAATAAGTCATCAATAAATTGATGATAAATTTGATAACTTTTTGAAAATCGACATTCCCATGTTAACCAATGGGAAATGGTAGGTTTGTCGCAAGTCATATGACAGTATATCCATCCATCCGAGTCCTTGCAAAAAATATGAGTTAGGTATACGTAGTCAATTGAATTTGCTTAATTTACTTAACTTTACTTAACAAAAAATTGATATGTTTCTTCAGCTTCAACAAAGTTATAAGACGTCAAAGTCAAAATTGTTTTTTAAAAAACTCTCCAATTGAAATAACACAGGAGGCGAAAAATTATTTTCAAGAAATGACTTTGAATTTATCAGGTTGCCAAACTTATGGAGGGGAGTGTACATATACTATGTATGCATACAACTATACTTTCCTAACACTATCATGCAATTCATTTCTAGGTTTGATGACTTGTGTTCGGACGTGCGCCTTTTTGTGACAATTATATTGTTCATACAAGCATACAACTTTACAATTCCTTCAATCCTACCATGCACTTCATTTCTAGGTTTGATGACGGTGATAGAACATGCGACTTGTTGTTGACAACTTTCTATACATGTATACAACTATACATTCCTTTAACCCTACAATGCACTCATTCCTAGGTTTGATGACGGTGATAGAACATGCGACTTGTTGTTGACAACTTTCTATACAAGCATACAACTTTACAATTCCTTTAATCCTACCATGCACTTCATTTCTAGGTTTGATGACGGTGATAGAACATGCGACTTGTTGTTGACAACTTTCTATACATGCATACAACTATATTTTCCTTTAACCTTACAATGCACTCATTCCTAGGTTTGATGACTGGTGCTCGAACGTGCGACTTGTTGGTAACAACTACCAATGCCCGATTCCCATCTGATGTTAACATTACATGGAGTCAAGCAGAGTGTAGAGAATGTGTCACCGACACGTTCATGTGTGTTAAACTGAAGAAAACCTATCGGGATATGAATAACAACCTACCATGCCCAGCACGATGGCCGTGCTCGTGCTTTGACGATAACAACATTCCTGACGATATGCCGGATGGAGCTGTAAATTGTTACAGTGAAAAGTTGTACACGATACCAGTAGACATGTCACAAAATGTAACAGCTTTGTCCTCAACTCGGAACAAAATACGTTACATAGAACATGGAATGTTTCAAGGAATGTCAAATCTCACGAAACTTGATCTTGATTACAATGAAGTACACGGAATATCTTCGTTTGGATTCAAGGGGCTGGATAAACTCGAATATCTTTCTATAAAGAACAACGAGAAGTCTATTAAGTTTGAATTCAAATCATTTGGTGGATTGCATAAGCTAAACAAGTTGGATCTGAGCTATACTAGGTTGCAATATCCAAGAAACAATAAACTCTTTCAAGATTTAATTCTTCTGGAGGATTTACGCATTGTTGGATGTGGTATAAAACGTGAAGAAGATGTTTTTCTACCTAATCCACACCTATTGCGACACTTGTACATTAGCCAACTAACTATATTCAATACAATGTTTAAACAACCAACAAATTATAGTAACCTTGAGGAGTTAGTCTTTGGACGCGTTCCAGTGAATGAAACAATTTCAAATGGACAATTTGATGGCTTGAATAAACTGAGGTATGTGGCATTCATTGAAACGGGTATATCACGTCTAAAACCTGCTATTTTTTCAGGTCTGGATTCACTAGCAACGCTAATGATACAAAGCTGTAACATCGACACGATTGAGCAAGAAACATTCACCCCACTTAAGAATATTGAAAAAATTATGATTTACCAAGACACATTGCCCAAATACCCAGTCTCATTATTCCAAGGCCTTGAGAAGTTGACTGAAGTTGAGAGCGATCATATGGAATTCTGCTGTATCGTTCCAACAACAGTGAAAACGTGTTCCCCACAGCCAGACCATCTGTCTTCGTGTGGAGATCTAGTGAAGAACAACATACTCAGGGTGTTTCTTTGGACATTTGGTATATGTATACTCCTTGCAAACAGCGCTGTCATCATACTTCGATTTTGTGAGGGCACATCGAAGCATGGCGTTAACGAAATATTGATAATGAATCTCTCATTATCGGACATGATAATTGGGGTTTACATTATCATAATTGCTTCGATGGATCTGAAATACAGAGGCATATACTATCAATACCAGAGTGTTTGGAGGAAAAGTGGCTTATGCATGGCATCTGGATTCATTGCATCTTTGTCAAGTGAAATGTCCGTGTACATCCTTGTTGTCATGACACTTGATCGGTTCCTCAAAATAGTGTTTCCTTTTAAAATGTGGTTACACTTTTCCAAGCGTGCTGCACATGGGACTCTCATCTTTGGCTGGATTCTTTGTATAACCTTAACAGCTTTACCACTTCTCCCTATTGACTACTTCAGCCCTCATGAATTCTACACGCAATCTGGCTTCTGCTTACCGCTTATGTTGAATTATGATTCTGCAAAAGAAGCCATACTAAAGCGGCGTTTAAGCACCTTAAGGGAGGTTAGCACTACATCTGGTGGTCAAGAGCAGTCTTATTCCCATTTTAACGGTTGGGAGTATTCCTTTGCTCTTTTCAATGTTGTCAATCTTATTGCCTTTTTTCTTATTGCTGCTGGCTACTTGGCTATATTCTTTGCAACAAGGATCTCTAGATCAAAAATGAAACAGGGCAAAGGAAATGAGCAAGACAGACGATTGGCGACAAAATTGATGTGGATCGTGGCTACCGATTTCTGCTGCTGGGTTCCAATAATAATTTTGGGATTTCTAACCTTTTACAAGGTAACACTACCAGGTTTGTATTAATATGTTATTCATTTAAGAAAGTTTTGTACAAATACAGGGTGGGCCAAAAAACAGTACCCAACTTAAAATCAGGATTAAAATAGTTGCATTCAATATGGTACATTGACTTACATATCATTTGAAAGGTTATACAATTTAAAACAATTTGGTATATAACACTATGTCAATAGTAACGTTTTATTATACTTATTTGGGAGGCCGAGTTGCTATTTAAGGTCTCTAGATTTAAGGGAGAAATAAGTAAATCTGTGGAATAATGTTAATTTTTTATTTATAGAATATCATTCTTTTGTAAGGTGAAAACATGCTTGGATATTGATAATTGCATCATTGTTTGACTAAATTTATTGTTTATGAATTTCAGTGTTGTTTAATAACATTTTACACTTTATTCATTTAAACAATTTTAACAATTGCTCAATATACCCCCACCCCCTCCCCTCTGCATCAACAATAAGCTTCAGGTGGTAGCGCAATCTATCAATAGCCTTATTGAGAGAGAGATTTCTGTTGCAATTTATTTCAGCACTTTAGGATTCTGTATCAGCTCATCGATGCTGTTTAGTAGATGCTTTTGATTGTACCATTTCCTCGAGATGGCTCCATGTATGGTAATCAAACACATAAGCATCGGGACTGTTGGGTGGCCAAGCATCGAGATCAATCAAATCGACACCTTGTTTGCAAAGGAATGCCAATGTCTCCTTTAATCTATGCTACCAGGTAATGTCTTGTTGGAAAATAAAATCCTCGTCACATATACGTTTAATGTCTTTTAACAGACCCCCTTTGAGTACTTATTGATAATAAACAACACTAAAATTCATAAACAATAAGTTTAGTCACACAATATGCAAATATATAAGCATGTATTCACCTAACAAAATGATATTCTATTAATAAAAAATTATTCCGAAGATTTACTATTTTCTCCCTAAAATCTGGATACCTTAAAAACCAACCGGGCCTCCCAAATAAGTATAATAAAACTTTAATATTGATTTCATGACACGGTGTTATATACCAAATTGTTTGAAAATGAATTAACTTTAAAATGATATATAAATCAATATATCATAAGTTGGGTATTGTTTTTTTGCCCACCCTGTATATTTAGTTTTGAAAATTTTGAAACACTCTTCTTCATAGTGGTAGGTATCGATGTTTCATGTTTATACGACTTTTAGTGCATTTGACATTTGCTAATTGTAACCAAGGTGCTGACCAATCAAAATATAAAGACAAACTAAATAATAAACTAAATATGACTAAATTCGCCCAATTTAACTATATTTATTTATTTATTTCGATCTACACTTTTGAAACAGTGGCACGCTCTGCAATGCAAAGGTGCGTCGAATGTACATATTAAGATAAAACAATTATTACAACTTACTAAAAACATTCATTTTGAGTATTTAATATAAACTGATTTAAAAACCTTTTAAAATATTTGTTAAACATTCTACCTTGTTTTTCCCCAAAATTTCAAAGACATCATCTCCTAACATGTATTTTAGCTTTTCCTCAGGAGAGAGAGATGGATTCAGCTACTAAAAGAGCGTCACATTTTGAAGTTATATCATTTATAAATTGTAACCTTTCATTTATGAACTTAGGGGATACAATGAATCGGTGAATTAAATCTTCAGAGTCATTACTTTTACAATGAGGGCAAATTCCATCACTTTTCTTCCATCGTTTATTATCCTCCTCCAAGTTAAAGCACCCAGTTCTTGCCATGAATTTTAACCTGGAGCAATAGAAATCAATGTCATCTTGGAGGTAGTTCTCTTTAAATGTATTTTTCTTAAGAGCAGTGTAAGTTTTCAGTGATGTTCTCTTATCTATAGCTCCAAAGAAATCTGTATTCTTAATTCTATTAGAGATTTCTAGGAAGGACTTATACCAAGTTTGATCAGTTGACTTTAAACAAATCGGACGCCATCCTAAGTCACCAATAACCGCTTCCCTGGCAGGCTGCATATTTAGATTAAAAACTGATCTTCCAATGTTATATTGGAAAGAATTCATATCGTTACATTTGGATTTCGATTCAAAAGTAAGAATACCACACACATTTAATATTGCTGGAATGAACACATTATTGTGAAGAGTATCGCCAAATTTAAATCTTTGTATATTAGAGTGCTTGTTAAGGGTTGTATTAATATAGAGGCTTATTTTCTTAGCTTTGAGTCTTAAAAGTTCCAAAAAATGTGCTGTATCACTTAGATTGTTACTTATAATAACACGATAATAAGAGTGAAGAATGACCATAAATAACTCTTCAACCTTTGAAACAGTTCTCCCTATTTTATGGCCTTAGAAATGCACAATCATATGAAGTTGAAAATATAGTAGAATATCACTTAGAAAAAATGAAGTTGAAGCAGAAAAAATTTATAGAATTACTCATGTTAACGAATTGAGAAACAGTGAAACAAAAAATATATTTAGTCGTGCATTTAGCAAGAGGCTTCAAACTGGACAAATCGAACTAGAAATGCATTACTGTCAGAGACTACTACATAGGTATTATAATGCATATTGATTAAATATAAACGTGTAATAACGTAACCTGACAAACTTTAAAGAGCAAAGATTGACCGAACAATTTAAGCCTTTCGAGGTATTAAAAAAACAAATTCAATATAAAACTAATTCAGAATTTAAAAAAAATGTGTAGGAGGTTTATTGGTCAGGGTTCTGAAATTTTATATATCCATGTTAGATGGGTTATACTTAAACTTTAATAAATTCCACGTGAGAATAAGGAATTTTGTTCTTTTATGTTTCAAATGATTGGAGTCAAACGCAATATAAGAATACACAAACAATCTATAAATTCAATTCGCATCAAATTAATTCGAAGCATTGATATTTGACATGTCCGTATAAATAACAATATTTTTATAAGGAGGAAAAAAATAGTGAAGGGTGACCGATAAATTTAAAAATGTGACAAAGTATTGGATCTGTTTCAGCTATGAAATCATCAGAATTACTCCCTCTTTTACCTACACTTGTTATTTTTGTTAAGTTTTGTTTTAAAAAAGTAGCCCGTGCTTGAAATAATCAATTGGAGTGGCATTTCCCTGAAGAATGCAAGTTGTGTTTTTTTCATATGTCAAATATTAAACAAATATTTTATTGTATTGAGGTTTATTTAATCATATTGAAGCCCGAATGGCTAGTGGAATATCATATTTTGAAAGCGTCCTAGATATTCACCGAAAATAGAATTAAATATTTGTTTTATTATTCACCGTTATTTTCCTCACTCACATTGATGGAATAACAAGCTATTGATGTCTAATTAATCATAACATAGTACACCTTAGACCTGGGTATATATTAAATTAAAGTTGCACTGGACTAAGTCAGAGTGGTGAATATCATTAAATATTCAACTGATGTCACGTGACTTTCGTTGAACATTTTCGTTGTTATTTATAGTCACGTGAAGGACATGGACCAATCAGAGAGTGGGGAATATGACAGTGATATAATACATTTTGATATATTTTTATTTCTGTGAAGGAGGCCTAGATACCCCGAGATTGACATAAATTTACACATATTTAGATGGCGCCCTCTTGGTATGAATTTCAAATAAAAAATGAGAATTGCCATTGATAAATAAATACTCATCATAACATGAACTTGAAATATATATTTACATAATATATCATATTTACCATTTATTTCAGGAGATATCATTGCTTATATCAGCATATTCGTGTTGCCAATCAACAGCGCTATCAACCCGATACTCTACACATTTAGCACACTTCCCTGGAAAGACATATGGAAGAAGTGCAAGTGTAGATCAGCACTTAAGCAACCACTGGCAACAACTCCGGGGAACACAAATGACTCAGCAGCATCTGCCACTACTAACACTAAGCCTTGAGTGTTCAAGTCAAAGTGAATGAACTAAAAAATTAACGAACGGAATAAATTGAACATCAAGAATCGAACTACGAACACTAGCATTTCACATCTGCGTAAATATATCCAAGTGGTTGACTTTACGACAAAATAATGGGTAAACTATTATGTCCTGTATAAACACTGGAAATTCATATATTATTATTAAACATATTTTATTCGTCTATATATTACATTACAATTCATATATGTGTCTCTATATTCAAGTGGTGGACTATATGACAAAGCATTTGGATGACATTAGGTCCTGTGACGAACTATGAACACAATAATTTTACATCTGCGTTTCTATATCCAAGTGGTCGACTATACGACAAAGAAATTTGGTAACAAAGTAATGGGGATAGTATTATGTCCTGTAAAACACAAGGGATTCATATACCAATGGTATGTGTCTCTATATCCAAATGGTAATCAATACAACAAATAGATTGGATGTCATTCCGTCCTGTGACGAGCTATGAACACAAGCATTTCACATCTGCGTCTCTATATCCAAGTGGTAAAATATACGACATAGAAATTGGATGACATTACGTCATTGGACAAAATTGAACACAAGCATTACTAGACGACAAAGAAATTGGAAGATATTATGTCCTGTGACGAACTATGAAGTCAAAGCATTTCACCTCTATGTCTATTTATCCAAGTGGTAGACTCGTAATAAGACAAAGAAATTGGATGACGATATGTCCTGTGGCGAACTATGAACAAAAGCATTTCAGCTCTTTTGTCTATATATCTGAGTGGTAGACTATACGACAAAGATATTGGATGACATAACTTCCTTTGACGAACTATGAACACAAGCAATTCAAATCATCGTTTATATATCCGAGTGGTACACCATACGACAAAGATATTGGATGACATAACGTCCTTTGACGAACTATGAACACAAGCAATTCAAATCATCGTTTATATATCCGAGTGGTAGACCATACGACAAAGATATTGGATGACATAACGTCCTTTGACGAACTATGAACACAAGCAATTCAAATCATCGTTTATATATCCGAGTGGTAGACCATACAACAAAGATATTGGATGACATAACGTCCTTTGACGAACTATGAACAAAAGTATTTCAACTTATCGTTTATATATCCAAGTGGTAGACTATACGACATGACGTCATGTGCCAACTATAAAGACTAGAATTTCACATTTGGTGTCTATAATAGACAATTGATATCGTTTTAATGCATTTGAAATAAGATTAACTAAGAATATTTTAACCCTTATGTCTACATGTTGTTTTTTCGATAGTAATTTTTGCTACTTTTTTGAGTTTTTAAAGGTGAAATACAACTAATCAACAATTCTCATATAGCTAGCAAGAAGTGTCCAATTCCAGCCAATCCAAACACACTATTTCATGAAACTGCATTTCGTTATATAACCAATAATGCATTTGTTGTATGGTTGTCAAGGTGATACCTTGGACTCTTAAGCTTGAATTCGATGTGTTGACTTGACCCCTGCAATAAAATTTCATTGAAAATATGTTATTTTAGTGATTTGTATATTTGAGGTAATTTATAAAATATTTTGCAATGTGTGAAAATAATATATCCCCAATACTCAATGCATGGTGCCAATTTCATTTAACTCAGGCGTTGCTTCTAAACTTAACATTCCCACTGTGCAGTCATGCAAAGATTTGAAAACAACACTTCATTGGAGTGATTTAATACACACTTCACCCAGTCTAGGACTTATCTCCTTAAATATTCGGAAAATTGAGAGAAAATCGTGTTTTCTCAAAACTTTCGTGTCGTGATAAATACCTTTGAATTGTTTTTGCATGTTACTAAATGCAAACTATAATATTAGAATTGTGATGGTAACTAAGTCGAAAATATAGATATACTTTTCTATTCTCCCATTCCCCCAAATTTTCAGTTTTACTAATATGATTAAAATAATTATGTGTGACGAGATCAAACGACCTTTTTATTACTAGTATCAAACAAAAAATTCAAAAGGCATTCGTTAAGCTTTAATGTCTTGATTAACAACCACTATTCTAAATATATTTAAATGGATTCTAGCAATTCTCACCAACACGAAAATATTTGTTGAGCAGCGTATGTGTGTGGAATATCTCAGCACGAGTGCCAAAAGGATAGAAATGTCAGTTGTGCTTCCTCTGGTGTGTTCAAGCGTTAACATAAAAAGGGTGTGTATTAAAGATTTACTTTCCTGCTATCTCAAAGTCAGCTTGGAACTGTACTATTGGATTACTATGGGAAATTCCTCAAAGAGAAAATGCTACGAATTAAGGAATTTGAGAAATTATTCGCATACATGAAACCTTTTTAAAACATAATTTGTATTATTCAAAAGCTGGTAGCATTACTGATCCAGCGTCCTTTGAAGTTTGTAAAATGAAAATACGAAAGATAATCCTTAAAAATGAGAAATATTTTTGGGGATTATATGGTACAATCGTAAAGTCAATAAAATGTTTTAGAGTGTATTGATGCTTTTTGGATGAAAAGCATAAGCAGAATGCATGAACAATTCTTCCAATTCATTCGGCAAACAACTCCCCTCCTTTAAAATAAAATTTAAGATATTTATTATTAAAAATACAAAACCGTATTAAATGCATTCGACAACCCCACAATGCATACTTTGACACCAATCTGATATTTTTAGCACGAATAGAAGTAAAAATACGATCTTTGTTGTATTTCCGGCAGCCATTTTGAAAAAGGCGTATATTTTGAATATGAAGTGGTAATGTTCAAGACTCGAAACCGTATTAAATGGATTCTTCACCAACAAAAGTGTCAATTTATGTACCAATCTTATCAATATAGCATGCATAGAAACAAAGATACAGTCTCCGTTGTATTTTTGAAAAATGTGTTTATTTTGAATGTAAAGCGTCATCTAGACTGTCTTTGGATACAATTGTTTTTATTACCCAGGGATACTTCCATGCCAAAGGGGACATTTGCATCATAAAGTGATGTCCAAATGTATTTAACCCACTTTCTATTGGGGACTTTGACTTAATAATGCATCTAACGCATTTTCAGAAAGAGAAGATCAAACACTGGCAATATGTCTCTGTACCAAACGAAATGAAGAAGAATTGGGAACACGTCTACAATAAGTATAAATGTCGAGGAAATAAACAGAAAACCGAATAGAAAATTCACACCACCGACTAGAGGGGGGGGGGAGGCAGGCCAACAATCCCATTTCCTGAAGTCCGTTGGCCACCGAAAAAAAGCAATATATTTATTTATGGACACGAATGTTAAATACAAATGCTCATAATTCCTCATAAGGCGTGATATCATCCGCCTTAGATTTATATCGTTATCACTCGCATTTACATGTAGACAGGAATGTTAAATACAAGTGTTCGTAATTCCTCATAAGGCGTGATATCATCCGCCTTAGACTTATATCTTTATCACTGACATTTACATGTAGACACGAATACGAATATTAAATACAAGTGTTCATAATTGCTCATAAGGCGTGATATCATCCGCCTTAGACTTATATCTTTATCACTGGCACTTACATGTAGACACGAATATTAAATACAAGTGTTCATAATTCCTCACAAGGCGTGATATCATCCGCCTTAGACTTATATCGTTATCACTCGCATTTACATGTAGACAGGAATGTTAAAAACAAGTGTTCATAATTCCTCATAAGGCGTGATATCATCCACCTCAGACTAATATCTTTATCACTGGCATTTACATGTAGACAGGAATGTTAAATACAAGTGTTCATAATTCCTCATAAGGCGTGATATCATCCACCTTAGACTTATACCGTTATCACTCGCATTTACATGTAGACAGGAATGTTAAATACAAGTGTTCATAATTCCTCATAAGGCGTGATATCATCCGCCATAGACTTATATCTTTATCACTGGCATTTACATGTAGACAGGAATGTTAAATACAAGTGTTCATAATTCCTCATAAGGCGTGATATCATCCACCTTAGACTTATATCTTTATCACTGGCATTTACATGTAGACACGAATATTAAATACAAGTGTTCATAATTCCTCACAAGGCGTGATATCATCCGCCTTAGACTTATATCTTTATCACTGGCATTTACATGTAGACACAAATATTAAATACAAGTGTTCATAATTCCTCATAAGGCGTGATATCACCACCTTAGACTTATATCTTTATCACTGGCATTTACATGTAGACACGAATATTAAATACAAGTGTTCATAATTCCTCATAAGGCGTGATATCATCCGCCTTAGACTTATATCTTTATCACTGGCATTTACATGTAGACACGAATATTAAATACAAGTGTTCATAATTCCTCATAAGGCGTGATATCATCCGCCTTAGACTTATATCGTTATCACTGGAATTTACATGTAGACAGGAATGTTAAATACAAGTTTTCATAATTCCTCATAAGGCGTGATATCATCCGCCTTAGACTTATATCTTTATCACTGGCATTTACATGTAGACACGAATATTAAATACAAGTGTTCATAATTGCTCATAAGGCGTGATATCATCCGCCTTAGACTTATATCGTTATCACTGGCATTTAAATGTAGACAGGAATGTTAAATACAAGTGTTCATAATTCCTCATAAGGCGTGATATCATCCGCCTTAGACTTATATCTTTATCACTGGCATTTACATGTAGACATGAATATCAAATGCAAGTGTTCATAGTCCCTCGTAGGTCGTGAAGACATCCATAACCTTAGACTTATATCTTTATCACTGGCATTTACATGTAGACACGAATATTATATACAAGTGTTCATAATTCCTCGTAAGGCGTGATATCATCCGCCTTAGACTTATATCTTTATCACTGGTATTTACATGTAGACACGAATGTTAAATGCAAGTGTTCATAGTCCCTCGTAAGGCGTGATATCATCCATAACCTTATACTTATATCTTTATCACTGGCATATACACGTGGACAGTAATGTTAAATACAAGTGATCACATAATATTAGGGCGTGATATCATCCGTTACCTTAGACTTATATCGTCTTCACTGGCATTTTCATATAGACAAGAATGCTAAATACAAGTGTTCACAGTTCATCATAAGGATATTGGAGCATTTTAATATGGCTTTCTTTGGGTTATCTTAATATGGATTTGGGAGGAATTTATCCTTGTTTAAAATATATCATACATAATGAGAGTAGGTTGATGATTACTTCTTAAAATCAGTTCTGACCCGGACTGTGACTGTGCAATTTTAATCGCCTTGAATCGCCACTTTTTCTAAAGAAATGTCTCTACCCTTGAAAAACCACTGTCCAAAATAGTCAGTTCCAGCAACCCTAGATTTAGAATTACTGCATTCACTTTTTAATACAATGAATAAACACAAGGACCACACACGTTCTGAACTCGCATGCTACAATTCAAGAAAGTTCCAATGGCATCCCTTTGACCTTTATTTATTACAGTCCGAGAAGATTCTTCCTGACGAAAAGCCCACATTATGAAACACCTTGTACGTTTACTTATAAGTATAAGTATACGTTATAGGTTGACTTTCACGTATGTGCGAAATCTCTCTAATATGTTTGACATTCGACTTATATTATAGTTGATGTTGCAATTAAGCAAAAGTGCGTGTTTGATTCAACTAACTATATTCACGGGGTACCATCGAATAATTTTGGCAACGTACCGGAGAACGACATTTTACTAAGAAATGGCAATAATTTAGCACAATATATTTTTTCAACTAGAGTTCTACTTTGATTTTGACAAAAGTAAGTATTTCATGCAATAGCTATTTCATTCATGAGTTTGTAGGAATTCTGTTGGAACCCAGTTCTGATCAAGTACGAAGTTATTGAAATCGGCGCAGTCGGACTTTACTCCGAAAGATGGTTTTTCGATTATAACTTTTACAACATTTAAGTATAGACTTTTGAAAAAGTACAGAATAGTCCTTATACTATTGAATAATTCTGTTATTTCTGATTCACACGACTCTGATTTGTTTTATTAAAAAAAAGTTTTAAAAATATTACTTAGGAACGTAACCGGAGCTGGGAACGTAACCGGAGCAGATCAGTTGAATTATATAATTTAAAAAAATAAAATATATGATTTAAAGCATATATATTAATACGCATTCGAACAATCCCGTATGTTTTTAAATTAGTATATGTGCTTTAAATCATATATTTTAATTTTTTTGATTAAATAATTCAACTGATCTGCTCCGGTTACGTTCCCAGCTCCGGTTACGTTCCTAAGTAATATTTTTAAAACTTTTTTTTTAATTAAACAAATCAGAGTCGTGTGAATCAGAAATAACAGAATTATTCAAAAGTATAAGGACTATTCTGTACTTTTTTCAAAAGTCTACACTTAAAGGGTGTGAAAAGTTATAATCGAAAAACCATCTTTCGGAGTAAAGTCCGTCTGCGCCGATTTCAATAACTTCGTACTTGATCAGAACTGGGTTCCATCAGAATTCCTACAAAGTCATGAATGAAATAGTTATTGCATGGAATACTTACTTTTGTCAAAATCAAAATAGAACTCTAGTTAAAAAATATATTGTGCTAAATTATTGCCATTTCTTAGTAAAATGTCGTTCTCCGGTACGTTGCCAAAATTATTCGATGGTACCCCGTGATATTATGCATATTTAATGGACCATCTGAAAAGTATTCAAGACACAATTATCAATTCCATTTTCACCCTTGAACTAATCAACATTTATGATAAAAATCACCCTGAATTTGACTTAAAACTTTGATTTATTTCCAAAGCCGCTGCATCAGAAGAAGGTTTCCACATTTGTCAGTTGAACCGCTGATT